TCCTGTGCCATAAAAAATAAAAGTAGAACAAACAAACAAAAAAGAGAAAATCAAACAAGGGCATCTTGGTAATGTCAATGTTCTATATTTCTTAACTCGGGCAGTGGGCAGGAGTATCTGTTTTGCTACTATAATTTAAACTGTGTATATATATTTTTGTTTTACGTTCAAGTGTATGGATTACACTGCAACAGAAAAAAAAATCCTTGAACTGGACCAATAAGCAACACCATGATAAACCGGGAAAATACTTAAGTTGTCAAGAATTTCATTTTTCTTGGATCCACAATGAATGCCTATGAAAGCAGCAGTCAAGAATTCTGCTGCAAAGACCTCTTTAAAGCATTCAAGAAAAAAAAAAAAATCAAACTCACTGCCGTGGAGTCAGATCTGACTCATCGTGACCCCTCCTTGGGTTTCTGAGCCTTCTGGTTAGCAGTCAAATGCTTTAGGCACTACACCACCAGAGCTCCTTAAAAAGCAAATATGTCTCTTTGAAGACCAAGGTGTGCCTGACTGAAGCCATGGTATTTTCAATACCTTCATATGCATGTGAAAGCCAGACAATGAATAAGGAAGATTGAAGAAGTGATGCTTTTGAGTTACAGTGTTGGAGAAGAATATTGAATATACCATGGACTATCAGAAGAACAAATCTGTCTTGAAAGAAGTACAGACAGAATGTTTCTTAGAAGTGAGGATGATGAGAATTCATCTCATGTACTTTGGACATGTTGTCAGGAGGGACCAGTCCCTGAAGAAGGATACCATACTTGGTGAAGTAGAGGGTCAGTAAAAAAGGGGAAGGTCCTCAACAAGATGGACCGATGTGGTGGCTGCAATGATGGGCTCAAGCACAGCAACAGCTGTGAGGGTGGCAGAGGACTGGGCAGTGTTTTTTTCTGTTGTGCATAAGGTCACTATGAGTTGAAACTGACTCGATGGCTCCTAACAACAACAACATATATATTTTCAGATACTTTTCTATAGATGTCATATTTCACTGAAGGTGTCCAGCTGTTGACCACACGAGCCCTTCTCCAGTGGACTCTCCACAGGTGTATTCACAAGACTCAGGCCATTTGCAGGGGCTGAAGTGCCTGGGATCAACAGTAAAGGTTAGGAGCCAGCAGAGAGAATCACAGAGGATTCGGTTGTGAATTTCTCTCAGCTATTTGGCTTCTGAGGAATCTAGTGGCACAGTGGTTAAAAATTCAGCTATTAACCAAAAGGTCGGCAGTTCAAACCCACCATCATTCTCTGGGAGAATGATGTAGCAGTCTTGGGAACAGGCTTGATGGCAGTGGGTTTGGTTCTTTGGTATTTGGCTTCTAATTGCTTTTCCTGGTCTTCACTGTGAACAGGCAAGAAGACCAGTGTATGGCATGAATAGAAGAACACAAACTGCCATCAAATGAGTCTTGAGTTAAAAGCACTCACAACCAGGAATGGAATCATGGAATTCAGAGCTCCCCATCTTTATTCAGATAGAAAAATATTAAGAGGTCCCTGGGGAAACGATTCACAGGTTTTTTTGTTTGTTTGGTGAGGAGGAAGGAGAACCTCAGAGGAAGCCCAGGGAAAAGGCCTCTGTGTCGTGCATTTCAGCAAAGGCTGAGTTCCTCAGGCTGCACATGGATGGAAGTACTTTAAGGTTGGCAATTTCCTCCACTGCCTTCTAGCTTCTAACATGCATCAGGACAAAACTAGCTGATGCCTGTGCTCAGACACTCATCCTAGACCTCAGAATTTCGACCACATGCTGTATTTTTAACAGCAATGTGTGTTCCATGTCTCTGTCTGCCCTTTTCTCTAAGCTCCTCCTATCTCATTCTCACTGGAGCTCAGTGTTCTGGCTGGATATTTCTGGTAGACATTGGCCCATCAAAACTCTCTGCAGCATCTCCTCCAAACTAACATGAAGCCTGGTAGTAGCAAAGGATGGTATGTTACTGTTAGGTGCCATCAAGTCAATTCCAACTCATATCAACCTCCTGTGATGGAGTAGATCCATCCCATAGAATTTTGTAGGCTGTAATCTTTACAGGAACAGATTGCTAGGTTTTTCCTCCCACAGAGTCACTGGGTGGGTTCAAACTGACAACCTTTTGGTTAGCAGCTAAGTGCTTATTATGCTTATGCCACCCGGGCTCTGTAAGGTCTGGATAATGACAACAAATTAATCAAGAAATGAATACACATGGTTAAAGAGGAATCCGAGCCACAAGTAGCTGGGGATGTGACTGAATTGCTGAATTCCTGTTTCAAGAGTATCTGCTGAGATCTCCCCTGAAGATCACATCAGGGGTGTGGAGGAGATGAGAAGGCCCTCAAAATATATGCATGTGACTCCTGGAGGACAAGTCCCATTTTCAGGGTATTTTTCACTTATGGTTTGAGACCTGCTTCTTTAAGATTGCTGCTTAAATATTTTTTTCTTTTCACTGCTCCTCCTCACCCAGGCCACCGGAGCAGAAATGTGCAGTGCAGAGCAAGATGAAGGGCCACAGAAGAAAGCCCACAGGAGTCCCGAGAATCTCTGGCTTACACTAGTTAGGCCATCATCCAAACCTCTTTGGCAAAGACCAAGATTTTCTCCTCTATGGAGGTGTTTCAGATAGTCTCTTATTTTTTGCCCCTTTCTCAAAGATAATTTCCTCTAATGCACTTAATCCATCACAACACCAGAAGCTGTCATGAGAAAAAAGAAGCAGGGGCTAAGGGACTGAAAGTTACCTATCATCAAAGTTTAAAATGAAAACAAAAGCAAGCTAGAACTGCTGAGCAGCCTTGACCAAACACAGGTGTGGGGTGGGGGTGAGGTGGGGGAATGAAAAATCAAATTTGCCCCTTTCTGGTACTACTATCGAATAAAAAACCAGTCAGCTTCTACCCAACTCCAGAGCCAATGATGGAATATGTGCATTATTGGAAAATCGTGCCTGGGAAAGAAGTTGGGACACCTTCCAATATTCCTCATCCCTTTCCCAGGAAAGCAGCTCAGAAAAGTTGAGTGATTTGCCTGAAACCAGACTGCTATGGCCTTAAGTTCATATTTGTTTCTCAAGTTCATGCCCTGTAAACATGTTGTGATGGAGCAGACAGAGATAAACAGGAAAAGGCCCTGCTTGTTTCCCCTGCTCCCACTGAGTAGTAGCTGTGTTTTCTTCTCCTTGCTATCAGTCTGAGTCCAAATTGCTGTGATCGACTTCATGGTTTTTATTTTGTTTTTTTGCTTTTTTTTTTCATACCTGGTATCAATTCTAGTTCAGGGAAGTTCAGTAGCTAATATCAAGTGCTCTATCTGCCCCTGAGGGCGTCACCATAAAAGAGACAGAAATAATAGAGGAGGATTGAGAATGGTCCTCTGAAGGCAGTCTTACCCACAGACACAAGGACAGTGTAGCCCCCACCCCACAACCAGCCCAGAGGGAAAGGAATAAAGCTCAAGTCTCCAGTGCTGTGTCTGGAATCTCTGAGCTGAGGAGGGTATATTGGGGGGCGTTTCCAAGGCTGCCTCTCATGGACTCAGGGAGAGGGTCCTGTCTGATCAAGGCATCATCTGGACCCACCCAGAATGAGGCTGAAGTCTGCCGCAGAAGGCTCGACCCCTGCCCACAGTTGTGTCAGGGGGACTCCATTTCCTTCACCCTCTCGCATAAAACAGAAAACACATCTTCTGACCACACTCCTTGGGCCTGACTAAAGCACAAGCCTCCTATGCAGAGCTCTTCCAACAGAGCTCATCTTTTAGAGACATAAGGCAAGCCCCGAACCTCTGAAAAGGACAGCAGCAGAACCAGAGATCAGATTCAAGCAAGTGCCACATTTTTTTTTTTAAGTGCACAAAACAAAGAGCTACCTGTCTGGCTTCTCACCTCTCCCCAAGAACAGACAGGTAACATTCACAAGTAAGAGCATACTCACCTGCGCCCCAGTGGCTTCCTGATGCTGAGCCGCTCAAGCCAAACAAGGAATGTCATTGGCTTATTCTACTGAGCTCCTTAGTGGCTGCTGCCATAGGATACAGGCTTTATTTAATGTAACCTAGTCCTTTCCACTCCCCTACCCCAGACCCTGCACCCCCTCCAGAGAAAATCTCCCTGAGGTATCACTCTCCAAGGTGTGGAAGTTCCTTCCTGGGGCTGACATCTCTCTCAGCTTTGAGGTGAGTCAGCTTGAGAAGCCTGAGCCTGCACTCCCTGTAACCGCTCCAGCAAAGGTGCATTATTTATACTGGCTGCTATTTTAATTGATATAGGTGTATATTTGCAGCTCACCAACGGTCTCAGCAACCCCAGGAAGGACAATAAACGACTCCCTGCTGCATGTGAACCGTTCTTTCAGATCCTCGTTCTAGCTGCCAGCTCAGCCTGTGTGCAACTTGAACCGAGGCCCCAAACCAGCCCAAGCTCCACTCGCACCACCTGTCAGTTCTCCACCCTGGGGGTTGGTTCACAAGCAGGCAGCGATCTCCAAGCACTAGCTAGACCTCTGGCTCCACCTAACGGCAAGAAATCCACACCCCCCTTTCTCAGATTGGCAAACTGAGCTCTAGGAAGGCCCTCAGAGATCTATAAGGGATTTAACTAATTCAGCAAAGATAACTACTGGTCGCCTGCTCTGCCTCTCACATTGTAATTTTCTTCCCCGGCCTTTCTACAAGGAGGGAAGCTGATGTCAACTTTTTTAGTTAGCATCTTGGATTTCTCCAGCCCTTTGTCTGCGAATAGTACTTCTCACACATTATTCAAACAATCTCCTTGGATAGGTGAGTCACTAGAACATCTTCTGAATAATAGGGAATAAACGCATAGGCCTGAAATGTATCTGAAAGAGGCACAGACGGTACCTGACGTCCTGCCCCGGGTTCTAGCTGAACATCTGTTCATCCTCTCTGACCTCTGCCTCTCTTCCCATCACTTTCATACTGTTAAAGCACTTCTGAGTGGGCTGGGAAAAGCTTAGTTTCTGGCTGGGCTTGCCAGGTCTGCTCTCACCTTTAAATCAGGAGGCTTGTTGCGAGGTCCCGGGTTGGACGCCGCGGCAGCACCCGCATCTGAAGTTGGCCCGCCAGCAGAGTTAGCACCCGTGCCCTCCCCAGGGCGGAGGTCCGCGCCCGGCAGGTGGCAAGCGGTATCTTCCAGCCCAGGTCCATCCTCTTCGCCTTGCAGTTGCTGCAGCTCGTCCGATTTGCACCTCTTCATGGTGTATGTGGGTCGGCAAGGGGAAACTGTCCTTCCAGCGCGCAGCCTTGGGGGAAACCGCACCCCCTCTTATATTCCGGAATGAGGCCGGGGAGTTAAATTATGAACAAGGAGAGGAGTCAACAGACCATAATTTCTTAATTAAAAACATAAAAGAGGGTGAGGGAGGGGCACGGAAGGGGAGCCTTGGTTACAGCTTGGAATAGTTCATTACGGCCTGGGAAGCCGAAGGCAGGTCACAGTCGAAGCTAGGCAGCAGAAGTCCTTGGGCAGTCATTAGAGGGGGAGGAGGAAGGCAGCCCCTGGCCCCAAACTTTCTGCTTCAGGGATGGGTAGGGAGGAGGGTAGCTGGGCGGCACAGCGCATCCCTCCCGGCTGGCCCAACCGCTGAGCAAGGCAGGGCAGGGGGCAGCCAGCGGGCAGCGCCGCGTCGGCGGACTGCAGCCCCCAGCCCTGCCGCGCGGCCCCCGCCCCGCATGGGCCGGCTAAGGAGCCTGCAGCTCGCCCGGCCCCCTCCTCGCGAGCCACGCTGGCTGCTGCAAAGCCGCCGCCGTGGCGGCCCCAGCCCAGCGGCGAGCGCGCAACCTACCCCGCCCTCCCGTCTGCTTCTGCCGGGGAGGGGGAAGGCGAGGCAAGGGGGGAGTGACAACGGCAACAAACCAATGGGAGGAGCGGAGGACTGAGGGGGCGTCGCTCCGCGACGTTTTTAGGGTTGGTTGCACTGTGCGGTCCCCTAGGAGAGGTTTGGAGGCGACACTGCTGCGTTTTAGCATTGCGGAGAGCTGGTTGCGGATAGGAGAAGGGACCGCGGGCGGTGGGAGAAGCGGCGTTAGCAGATGAGTGAGGGACCCTTCCAGTGAAGGCACTCCTGGGATTTCCCCACTCATTCATTTTATTAGGCTGGGAGGGAGCACAGTAGGGATGTTTATCATCACTGCTTTGTTGCTCTAACTTTACACATTATATTATATACATCTGTCCCTTCATTGAGGATACACAGTCTGAGTCAAACCTTTGCCTACACTCTGGGCTGCAAAATCCAAAGGGGAGGGGGTGTTCTGGCCTATCGCCCCTCCCCCTATTTTAAGTACCTATCTCATCTGAATCCTTAGCTCTATGATTAGAAATTGGAAGGTATTTTCTATTTATAAACAATAATGTACGTGAGAGTGTCTTGCAAACTGTGAAGCAGTATTTAAATGAGAAAGGTTGTTAATGGCAGGAGGTTGATATATATGGGAGAGTAGAAAAATAATTCTCTCTCTTTTCCGGTAAACCTCAGCGAAGCTGCACTGAGTAATCTGGAGGCAGAAGACAGCAAAATGCTGGGGTTTCCAAGATAGGAAGGCTAGGAATAACAACAACCCTATTTGAGTATCTACTGTGAATAAGGTGGGCTTGCCCATCCAGCAGGCTTAGACTAGTGGTTCTCAAAGTGTGGTTACACCACCAGCATCATCCCATCACCTGGAAACTTAATAGAAATGCATATTCTTGGCCTCCACTCTGACCTATTGAATCAGAAGTAATGGGCCCTGAAACCTGTGTCTTAACAAGTCCACCAGGTTCTTCTAAGGCACGCTAAAATCTACAGACAATTTGGTCTAGACTGTGGTAAAGAGTCCACTCTGTTTCTGAGTCACAGAAATGCTCTCTAAAGGATTTTACAGTTTGCCAATCTCTTTCACACTCATCATGTCATTGTAGCATCACTTCCGTCCTACTAGTGTGTGAGTTTGCTGGCTCTCTGACTTCTTCCCATTCCAACCACTCATTTTCATGTGTATCCTAAAAGAGATGGTGTTGCTAAGAATTTACTTCAGTAAAGTAGCCACTTTGTACACTGGGCAGCTCCAGCTTGAAAAGATGTCAATTTAGGATGGGCTGGAAATGTAGATCGATTTCCCACATCCTCTACAGTATCAAGCTACAAGCTCAGTTTTGATGGTCAGGGAAAAGCAGAATGCTAGTGTAGGCAGTGGCAGGTCTAGACAGAACCAGTGGGGACAGATTCCCATGGTGTCAGGTGTTAGGCAGAGTATACTGCCCCCTGCCTGACTTGCCCCAGAGAAGTGTAAGAGTGCAGAGGCCTCACAGACCCTGGGCAAGTCTTGGGCAGCAAATGGTAAGCACATGTTAACACAGGTTCACAACCTGACTCTAAAGTGAAGAAAAGTGGTCAGATTAGTTGTGAATCTCCAAGGAAGCAGAGATCATTATTATTATGAATTACTCCTTATTTTTATACTAAGGTGAAGTTTGCCTTGAGTTTGACTGTTATGTTGTTATATACAAGCAGCATGATGACCATATTTCCAATTTATGGCCATATTCAGCAAGCCATGATGCAGGACTACAAAAAAGTCCATGGTGTGTTCATGAATTAGCTGATACTTTATATTCTGTTTTGGAGCAGTGTAGTATTGAGCTCGGGCTCTGACATCAGACTGCTTAGGGACAAATCCTGGCTCTGTTTTCCACTGACCACGTGACCAGGGGCAAGTTACCTAACTCTTTATGCTCCAGTTTTCTCATTTGGAAAGTGGGAATAATAACAGTACCTGCCTCACAGAATATGGTGTTGGATAATATATATAAAACACATATATAAGGCCCTTAGAACATTGCCTGGCACAGTGAGAGCCATGACCTCCATTTTCAAAATGGTTACATATTCAGTTCCAGTGGTTCTATCCTTAGGAGTTCAAATGTATCCCACCTATTTCTGGTTTTCACCAAGGAGTATTGTATTGCAGAAGGAGTTCAGGTAACACAGTGAGTGATTAAGCACTTGGCTGCTAACCAAAAAGTTGGTGATTCAAACCCACCGACTGTTGCACAAGAGAAAGATGTGGCAGTCTATATCCATAAAGATTACAGCCTTGGACCTATGAGGCAGTTCTACTCTATCCTATCAAATTGCTATGATTGGGAATCTATTTGACAGCAATGGGCATCATATTGTAGAACAAATACCCTGCTGCCAGAGAAGCTTGGGTGAAAAGTCTGTGTAGAGACCTTTGTGACCTACAACCACCTGTTTGAAGCAAATTTACTTTAGCTGTAGTAAATTCTTGTGTACCTAACATAAGTGGACCTGAAAGTACTTTGAGTAATAGAAATTTTGTTTAAAGGGGTGGATTGTTCTATTGTTCTAAGCTTCTTTGAGGAAACAGAGGCACATACTATATTTTGATGTTCAAGATAAGACAAAAATTTGAAGATTTACTATGCAAGAGTGATACTCAGCATGTAAGAATAGCATTTTTTATTCTGTTTTGGCACAACTATGTCTGGTGGCATAGTGCCTAAAGCATTTGACTACTAACCAGAAGCCTGACGGTTCAAACCCACCAGCCACTCCTCAGAAGGAAGATTGGGCAATCTACTTCCGTAGACATACTGCCTCAGAAACCCAAGGAGGGGTCACTATGAGTTGAATCGACTAGATGGCAGTGAGTTTGTTTGTTTGTTTTTGGAGTTAATTGCAAATAAATAACATGGTGTAACAGGCTGAACACTGGACTTGGCATCATAAAATCTATGTAAGAATTCCAGTTCTGTTACTTCTTGTGTGTTCTTGGACAATCAAATCACTTACCTTCTCATCTATAAATAGATGCTAATACCTATTTTCACATAGATGATTCAAGTGAAAACACTTGACACAAAGTATGTGTTCAGTAAACTTGAGTGAAACATAGTTAGCAAATTTGTCCAGGCCCCCAGTTTGTCACGTAAGAAAGGCAGAATTGTCCCAGTAACCTTAATACCTGCTGTGGATAGAAGATCTCAGTGAGGTTAATGAAAGGTGGGCACTTCTGGCAGCATCATGTTTGCTAAACCAGCGTGTAAACAGGAGGACAAAGAGCAGATTTATGGAATCCTGCTCCCTTGTCAACAGCCAGTTCATTTAGTTTGGTAAACCAATGAAGGTTTACTATAGAGGATAAGGTGCCAAGATCAACAGGTAGATTTTTTTTTTTCTCTTTGTGGCCAACTCGATGGCAAACAACAACAACAACAAGCAATTAAGTCTGAGAAATAAAAGACTTCTCTTTCTTTTAGCCTATAGCAAGAGGCTTGCAGATTATTCAACGAAACTAGATTTCCTACTCTGCCGGAATTCTTTTTTAAAAAAATCTTAAACATTAAATGGGTAAGTAATTGTCAGAGAGCTATTTTTAGATTTAACATACTACTGAGTGGTTGAAAGGTAAAAGAACTAAACATGATAAATTTGATCACTATATTTTGATACCAACATCATTACAAATATTCCTTTGTTAATGTAATTTTCTTTCCGTTGTGTTGGAGATTTCCACTTCCACTCAATGCTCTCCTTAAAAGAAATTGGATTTTGTTGGATTAGAAGGAGTAAACTATGCAAATAACCATCAGGGAGATTGGCTCGACTTGTTGATGATGTCACAATCCCACCACCTAAGTACAGGCTTTTTATTGGCTATTGTAAGAGCAGGGGAGGACCAGGAAGGCTCTGCATCACTCCTGAGTTGGAGAAAGCTCTCAGCCCCTTAATGACCTATCGGTTGCCTATGTGGTGACTGATATTTAGTGGTTCCACAGCCAGTACCTAATAGAACTTTCCAGCCCTCACCATGATTTCATTTATTATCTGGAAGCATAAGATTTTATTCCTCAGCTAAAAATATATTCGCTGTTATATCAGGAGAGAATGGAGGTGGTGATGTCAGGTAGGGGATATGTGAGTTTTTCTAACCCATCTGGAGGATTTTTCAGCTGCTTCCATGTCTGTGTGAATATTGGTTTTCCCTCCCTGAGCAACCACAGACTTTAGCCGGGCTACTTATAAAGGCTATTGCTGTTTTTGTAGTAATACATATTCTTCAAAGAATATTTGGAAAACAGAAAAGTTAAAAGCAAATAGCACCATTCCAACATAAAAACAATGCTCTCATTCTGCAGAGTCCTTTCCATTCTTCTCTTCTTTAAACAGGTGGAGTTTTTAAAAGAGAATTGTAATCAAATTTTCTCCTTTTTTTTTTTTTTTACTTAAAATTTATTCAGAAGCATTTCCATATATTATTACTTGGACATATTTCCGTATATCTAAGTAAATATTTAAAATGACTGTTTAACATTCTGAC